CAGGCTGTCAGAATGACAGGAACCGGCTGGACTTCTTCTTCTACCCCCGGGTCCTCCTGCTGGCCACAAGGCCTGCGCTATGGCTGGGTTCACAGCTGGGACTTACTTTGCTTGGTGGTTGTGGGTGTGGCAGGACGTGGGAGGGTGGTGCTGAGTGGAGTTGGGTCAGGGGAGGAGGTGACAGCGAGCTCCTCCCAGAACTTGTGGAGCAATTGAGCAGCATCCTAGCACAGGGAGGGCGCAGTTCTGTGGTCAGCTGGAGGCTTTCTTTTTTAAGGTTGTAAATGGAAAGATTTAAACCCTACATCTGTTCCTCACAACCATTTGGCCGGTACTTGGAGCCTGAGAGAGGCAGCTGCTTCCTCTGGGACTCCCTCCCTGCTTGCCTCCCCCTGCTCCAGAGTGGCGTCCCTTGGAGGAACCCACCCCAGTGAGGACAGCAGAGCTGGAGCTGACTCTTAACTTCCCTTTCTGAGCCTCACCCCTGCTTTATGCAAAAGTCAAACACAGGCTAATTTCCAATCTCAGGTGATTACGGTGACTGGGTTCCCACTCTGCAAAATCAGGCTGCTGAGCATTTACGCTGCGGGAAGAGCACGTGGTCAGCTGGTACCTGGAAGAGGTCACATTGCGCCACCCAGAGTGGTGTCGCATGCCTGGAACCCCCGCACTCAAGAGGATGAGGCAGGAGGATTGATACAATTTCATGGCCAGGCTGGGCTACACAGTGAGTTTGAGGCCAGCCCGAACTCTATAGCAAGATCCTGTCTCCAAAAAACCAACCTTCCCAAGAAGGAAAAGAAAGATATCAGATCTAAGCTGCTCACAATGATGATTCCCACTATCACTGAAACCTAGCTTGGTGCTGTGCTCGCCTGCCTGTAACCTGGCTCACAGGAATCAGCATTTCAAAAGCCCAGAGAACAGAGAACACTCCAGAGATAGGGTGAGGAGGACTTCTGGGCCCTTATCAGGCGGCACACTGGAAGTGTGGTTTGCGTTTTTTCCTAAGGCAGTCAGGCATGCAAGAGCTGCTTCCGCTAAAAACAAAACAAAACAAAACCAAAACCAAAAGAAAAAGAAAAACAACAACAACAAGAAGAAATCAAAAACAAAACCCTGACTCTACAAATGCCCAATAGATAAATAAAGTAGAGCAAAGCTTGCCTGTCATTTTGTATACTTTGTTACTGTAAATCTTTAGGTCAAATTCCTTCTCAGCTCTGCACAAGGGTATGTCGGTCATGAGGGAGTGTCATCTAAACTTTGGCAAAATGAGATAGATTAGCCCTGAATTTCCATGACCTCACCCCTGTTGAAGATGAGGACCCCAAGATAAGAGAGCCACAAGGCCATTCAAGGACAGCCAGGAGCCTCCAGCCATTGCCCTGGACCTGTGACCCGCTGGGTTCTGGGACAAGCAGAGGCTGGGACAGTCGTTTCCTGGGACCATGATCACCCTCAAGCCCTGAGGAGTGCGGAGCTAGGAAAGCAGGCCCCGGCTCTCCAGCAGTTCTTTAAGAGCCGGACTGGGCCTCGGCCAGTCTGATTCCTGCCCCCAGCCTCTGTTAGGGCAGCTGCTCTAGGTCAGCTCCTGCAGCTAAAGCCCCTTCCCAGTGTTTTTAGTCAACGCTTTTTCCTGTAAATCTGTGCTTTAGTTTTAATGTCTATTACTAAATGTAAGAATCCAAGCTAGCCAGCAACAAAATCATCACTGTGAAGGTATTTTGAAACTTTCCCTGGTTCCTTCCTGCTTTAGTTTGCTCATCTGGAAAAAGAAGATTTCAGACGAGGAGGTCTCCACTTGGCAGTTGGCCATCCCTCAGCTCCTCGCCCCCAGGAATAGGGGTCTGCAGGGCTGTGTTTTCTTTTTGGACCTCGATGGCTCATCACCAGCAAGGGCAGAGGCTGTGAGGCCTTCCTCTATCTTGACCCTGTGACTAAGGGACAGACATGGTCCGTCCCCTACTCCATGAGCATCCTTTAAGTTCTGCTCTCAGGTTTTAGTTTTGCTTTTTG